TGATTGTGTTTATCTGCAGTTAATTACACGAATTCAGATATGGGATGAAATCGGATAGGGATGAAATCGTTTAGGGATGAACGGGTTTAAGAGTTTTTAAGAGTTTTAAGAGTTTTTAAGAGTTTTAGCCAAATGCTTTATAAGATAGTATATATATATATATATATATATATTAAAATAAATACCTTGCTCTATTATTTTTTAATCGAATAAAATAAAATTTGAGAAAAGCCCGAATGCATCAAAAATATAATGTCAGTCTTTGCTTTAACATCTACATTGATATATTTCTTCATATTTTTATGGTTATCAAGTTTTCTATTTAAAAGCATCTTCAACAATTTCTTTAAAACAGAGAAAATAAAATTTTTACTCTTTATAAGTTTCTTTATCTTATTCTCTAAAATAAAAAAATCATGAAGAAAACTTTAAATATAAATAATTCTCTGAGACTTTAAAAAGAAAAGAATGAGGGTTGTCTAGGAGCAATAGATGGAACATACATTGAAGTGACTGTACCCGAGTCCGATAAACCACGATACCGAACAAGAAAGGGTCATATTGCGATTAAYGTATTAGGTGCATGCACTCGGGACATGAAATTCATCTACGTTTTATCTGGTTGGGAAGGTTCAGCTACCGATTCTAGGGTACTACGAGATGCGGTTACACGAACTWATGGTTTAAAAGTCCCAATGGGTACTTACTATTTGGCTGATGCAGGATACGTCAATGGTAACGGATTTTTGGCACCATATAGAGGTACTAGGTATCATTTACGAGAATGGGAACATATTGGTCATACACCTTCAAATAAGGAAGAATATTTTAACATGAAACACTCACAAGCTAGGAATATCATAGAAAGGTGTTTCGGTATTTTGAAGAAGCGTTGGGCCATATTACGAAGTCCTTCTTTCTATCCAATAAAACTTCAAGGAAGGATGGTTATAGCATGTGCTTTGCTACATAATTTTATTAGGATGTACATGGTTCTTGATCCGGAAGAAAACACGACACTTACACTATGCCTATATGGGAAGAGCAAGTGGAATCCAACGATGATGTTGAATCTATTGATGTTGTTGAATCGAGCAATGAGTGGACTCAATGGAGAGATGACATAGCCCAAGAGATGTTTGAGTCGTGGATGTCAAGTACATAAATGTACTCAATGTATTGTATTATCTATGTTTTAGATGTTGAATTTTAAAATGTTGTTAATGTTGAATTTTAAAATGTTGTTAATGTTGAACATTAAAATGTTGTTAATGTTGAATTTTAAAATGTTCTTAATATTGAATTTTAAATGTTGTTAATGTTGAATTTTAAAATGTTATCATAATGTATTATTTTGTTGCTAATGTTGAATTTTAAATTGTTATCATAATGTATTATTCTAAGATGGCGGATAGACGTAATTGGAATATCCAAGAAGAGGATGTACTAATTAGCATTCTACAAGAGATTGTAGCCGCCGGTGGTAGGAGTGATAATGGGTGTTTTCGGACCGGCACGTATGAGCAAATTGTTTTAAAGATGCGTGAAAAGATTCCGGGCCTTAATATAACATCAAAACACATCCAAAACAAAATGAAGCGGCTCAAGGATAAGTATTCAGCAGCTTATGACATGCTGAATACAAGTGGATTCGGTTGGGATGATGCGCATCAATGCGTAACGGTGGATGCTCAAGTTTTAGAGGAATACTTAAAGGTAACGCTTATATTTTTTATGCTATTATTTCATAGTTAAAGGTAATGCTCATATTTATGCATTTTTTTTATAGAAACATCCAAGCAAAAATTATATTGCCAACAAGCCGTTTCCTCAATATGAGCGACTGAAAACAATATTTAGAAAAGATCGAGCCACAGGATCGATGGCGGAATCTGCCGCAGATGCATTGGAACACATAAATCTTGAAAGTGCAGTCGGGGATGATACTGATGAATTGAACGTGCCTTTGACTACTCCTTCTAATGGCGCTTCTGCATCCTCTATTCCACAAGATGTAGAAGCATCATCAAAAAAAAGAAAGAGAAAAGCGGGTGTTTCTGAAGATGCAATGAAGGTGATTGAGAAGGGGTTGAATGTAATATCCGAGGAAATGGGTAAGTTGGTATCGGTTGTTGGTACTCCGGGTTTACAAACTATGCCCGATGAGTTAACCAACATGGGTTTTGATGATGATCAAGTTATTGCTATTAGCATGTACTTTGCCGATAACCCGATTCAACTACGCCTATGGAATAGCATGAACGCTACTTTGAAGCCAAAATTTGTGGCGACTATCTTAAAAAAGTTAGACATGTGATGTTGGTTGCTAAACATTTGATCTTTTGTGTTGAAGTCTTTTGGTACACAATTGTAAACATTAGAACTTTTGTGTTTAGGTCTTTTGGTACACAATTGTAAACATTTGATCTTTTGTGTTGAAGTCTTTTGATACACAATTGTAAACATTTGATCTTTTGTGTTTAGGTCTGTTGGTAAACATTTCACTTTTTGTTTGTGAATATGATGTTTAAATCTTTTGATTTATTAATGTGAGTTTTTAATTAAGATTGATTTTGGAAATTTTTTGGTATTTTTAAATAGTATTTGTAAGCATTTATTATATTGATTATTTAGTTAAAAAAAACACTAAACAGGTTACTGGGGGTAAATTGGTCATTTTAATCTGTCCTATCTTGTCATGTCTTACCAAACGCTGAACAACTGTCCTGTCCTGTCCTGTTTGCGCACCAAACGCACCCTTAATGAGGAGTTGAATTAATATCATTATATACATACATAATTGTGTGTGTATGTATATATATATATATATATATATATATGGGTGGAGGTTCAAATGAAAACATCTTTGTTTTACGAGGACGCGGACCCTTATCACGTGTGATGATACACGTGAGGGGACCCTGTGATGTGCGGACGACGTGTTCTACGACTTAAGTTGCGCCAAAGGTTGTCCGCGTCTATGATTTAGCATCACATGTGATGGTCTTGATGGATTATGATATCATATCAACAACACTCTTATCACATGTGAATGTGATAATACTTGTGAGGGGGTTTAGTGGTGCAAGGACGATTTGGCCCGCAACCAAGATCGCATAAAAAATCGATCGCGTCTCTGATTTAGTATCACATGTGATTGTCTTAGTAAAAAGGTGTTCTCATCTGAACTTTTCCCACATATGTATATATATATATATATAGAGGTTGGTTATTATACAACCCTTGTCATTTGTGCAACCAATACAACTCAATCTCAACCGTCCATTTCATTTGATTAATATGTGATTTTATAGAGGTTTTGATTATTTCCTAATATAAAGTATTAATCATAATTAATGAACCGTATTCATCTTCCATAAATATTTAAATCATAATAAATGAACTCTAATCATTTCCATAAATATTTCAATTTATTGGGTTGCATTGGTTGTACAAATGCGATAGGTTGTATTTGAAATAATCCCTATATATATATATATATTTAAAATATACATTGGAATCATAAAATAATATAATTGATAATGAAAGGTCTCTAAAACAAAGAATTTATTAAAATTGAATGTAATTTAATTTTTTATTTAAATTTCTTTTTATAGAAAATCTATTAAATTCCAATTCAAAATTTTTTACAAAATATAAAAAACCAACTACGAATGAGGGCATTTTAGGAAAGACAGAGAAAATCTATCGGTGGAAATTGGAAATTGACTGAACACACAACGAATAAGCACTCCGACCTCCCCCACCGTGATTCGCTTCTTTCTGCTCCTTGTTCATGAAGGTGTTCCTGTAATCCATCTTCATACCGCGATCATCACAGCTTTAATTCCAAAATTTCAGTAAGTTTTGGCTTTCTCTCCTTTGTTTTCTTAACTTTCGATCAAATTAAGTATCACTACTTCAACATTTAACCCTGTTTTCACAATTTTGGTGAGAATTCATGGCAACCAATTCCTTTTTCATTATTTGATTTCTCGACTTCTTGATTAGACAATATCATATTGGAGGTATGGTGCTTTGTCGAAATTTCTGATATTTTATGCGACGATTCTCGTTTATATTGTAAAAAGGGGATTTTTTTCCTTTCTGAAATGCAATAAGTTCATAGCTATGCAAGTGGTTTTTGGTGTTTCAGCTGCCTAATTTGTGTAAATTTTAGTTTTATGTATACCTATAGATTAGGCTATGTCACAATGTGGTGTTTTATTTATTTCATCGTGTCAATATTGAACAAAAGTAGAGAGATAAGTCGGTGATAAAAAAAGTACTCAGATTTGAGTTTTGGTAGATTGACTAAGTGAAAATGGAGATTTACATGTTGGTATTGTACATTCCCACAGAGTGTCAAGTATTTTTCTAAACCGGATCTTTGGATGAAAATTGGGTATAATATGGTCCTTGGTGAGAAAATTGCTTTGAGATGTTTTGAGGTTCATGATATAATTCCATATTTGAGGCAAGACATGGTATCATATTAATTTTTGCCGACAAGCATAAAACCTAATTCCATAGAACTACTGGTAACTTTCGGCAGCTAGATTTCATAATCTTGCATCTAACAGGCTAACCTGTCTATTCTTGAACTATGACTCTGAAGTTATAATTCCAGGTCTTGATTTTTTGGTTCATGCGTATCAGTATAGCGTTTATTTATTTATTATGTCTTCCCTTTTTTTTGAATTTGGTTACTTGTCTTGCAGTGGATTTTGAGGTGGACGATGATGTTAATGGTGAGGTATTAGTTAATTCTGCTGATGTGGAAGGCAGGACTGTTGATGATGATGGTACTGTAGGATGTTCTGTTGTAGGGATATTTCAGGATGACCATGATATCAAAATAGATCAAGATGAGTTGGAAAGAGGAATAGATCCTTTAGACGAGCCCCATGCAGTCAATGGCTCTCTTCTAGGGGCAGAGCCCTATTTGGGGCAGGAATTTGAATCCGAAGCGGCAGCGCATGCGTTTTACAACGCATATGCAACACGAGTGGGATTTGTTATCCGCGTGAGCAAGCTTTCTCGATCAAGGCGTGATGGAACCGCCATTGGGAGAGCTCTTGTGTGCAACAAAGAGGGTTTTAGGATGCCAGACAAGCGTGAAAAGGTTGTTCGACAAAGGGCCGAAACGAGGGTCGGTTGTAGAGCAATGATTTTAGTTAGGAAAGTAAGCTCTGGAAAATGGGAAATTACAAAATTTGTCAAGGAGCACACTCACCCATTGACACCTGGAAAAGGCCGTAGGGACTTGATCTATGACCAATACCCGGTTTGTCCAATTCTTCCTTATGTGCAATCTGCAGTCTATTACTTATGTTCTTGGTTTCATCCACATTATCTTTCATATTGCTGCTAAATAATGAACATTCTGTGAATAGAAGTTCTACCTGAACTGAAATGTATTTCTTATGTGACCGCAAACACATGGTTGGACAGTGGTACAGTGCTTTAGGAGTTTGTTGGGAATGTGTGAATATGATATGAAGCAAGAAAACATGAGGTTTTAAAAGAAACGATGAAGGAGAGTGTCAATGTATCCCAAGTAGGGGATAGAAGGATGGAAAATATCTTAATTTGGGAGGCTTATACGAGACACCAACAAGTGCTTGTGTGTTAGAATGACTGATGAGGTCTATATCCTTGCAATAGACATAGTTACAAAAGCATTGCCTAGGATGCTTTTACATATCTGTCATAGGTGGGCATCTTCAGTGCTATAGAGTACAAACTATCTATCTTCCATATAGTAGTATGTTTGATGATAATTAGGTGAAATCCAATTGATTAATGCATGGACAATGATGAGCCAATGTTTTAATAAATGATATCATCAAAATGTAACCTTATTCACACAATATCAACCATTAGAAACCTCCAGTAAAAGTCTTCTATCAGACCTTGTGAGGCTCTTGAGTTATTTATCCATCGCTTTAGTGTTTTGAGAGTCATGGATTGTCGACTTTGTTTCTGCTCCTTTATTGTGTGGGAAACTGGTGATTGCTTCTCTATGTTTTTCTAATAAACATTATCTGGTTCATTTCACATCAGTATTTCTCTATTGGATAACAAGAAAAGGGTCATATGGTTGAAGAACAAATATTAAATTCTTAGTAGAGCCACGTCCATCTATGGATGAAGGAATAAGGGAATAAGAGAAGCATCTTAAGAAACCTTACTCCGCCATACTTGATAGTATTAGAAACCACACCATTGCTCTTGACTGTCTAATTTAAGCTGCTTGCACTAGTGATTACTTCTTGTGTGTCCCAAGAGCATCATGGAACATTAGAAAAAATCCGGCCCCATCCAGATCCATGATTACTCAACAGCTGAGAAAAGACTATGCCAAAATACATGATGAACAAAACCAAACATACACTTCATGTTATTAATAAGGTACCCAAAAGAAATTGCATGCTAGAGAAATAAAAAAAATACCAAAGCTAGAATCATTGGAGCAAAATTGTTTAAGATCTCTGTGTTTGCAAATTTACTTTTGCATCTAGTTATTGAGGATTATAGACAAACAAACAATTTCTGGTAACTCACTCTGGTTTTTAAATAAAAGATGACGTGTAAAGTAAACTGGATAATGAAAAGAACCAACCATGAATTAGATTGAAGCAGCCCCAAAGTTAGCAGATAGCTCTGAGCTGTAGTTGAATAACTGGTGTAGGGAAAACAGATCATGATTAAGGGGCTGTTTGGTTGTTTTCCATTATTTGTACGGTATGTATAAAGCTGTCTGTGTAGATTAATATGTCTGTATAGATTGGTAAGGTTTTTGTTTGGGAGGGTTTTTTCCATAGATGGAAGGAGCGTGTTTTTTAATTGGAAGGTGCAGGTTTGGAAAAAAGCTCCCCCCTAGAAGCTTACCGGATAAGTCAGTTTTATATCATTAAGCCACTACCACAGTCATGTATAGCTGACCGAATAAGATGCGAGTCCCATTAAGCTCATCAAGCTGCTAACAAACAAGCCCTAATTCTATGATCTTCTTAAAGATCATATGTTGGAAAGTGTGCCAAGAAAGTACAGAAAATGTGGTCCTGGGGTGGATCCTAGAAAAGGTATTAGCTCAAAGTGTGAAACATTGCTCAGGCATGTGCTCTGCCTTTTGGACTTAGGGGACAAGATGCAAACCTCATGTTGAGGTGTGCTTCAGAATAATGGTTTCCCATCTGGGATGGTTCCTCAATATTAACTACTGAGTTTCTTGTTTTCTAATTTTTGTTGTTTACTTCGTTACTTCATAAATTATAACTGAATATGGTGATAATAATAACCATAAAGATACCAAGAGACCATAAAACTAGTGCCTAATATTAGTAGCAGAGCTGGAAGCTGAAGCCCAGAAATCACATCATAGCTTATAGATCTTTTCAGGGCGAGAGGTACTGTTGTGGATGTTTTATGATTCTATGTAGATCCTATATTCTCTCATTTGTGATACTAGATTATGATAAACTTAATCGAATATGATAGATAAGTTGATTAATATTTGGTTTGGCCAAAATATTTCTTGACCATAAGAATGATAAAATCATAAATATGCAGTGTTGGTTTCTCTGGGATGGTGCATCTGCCTGCGCCTTGTGCATTACATCTGTGGTGCTCCTTAGTCCTTAGCACCCAGCCACCTATGATTGGCTAAAGGAGAGGGGGACAGGTCTTGAACTTGTAGAGATTCCCTAGTTGTTACCACTGGGTTATCACCTATCTTCCTTTACAAAACTACAAGAGGAATGAAATCTTTGTGGAATGGTTGCATCCGTTAAGATGTTTCAACACACAATCAACCAATTCTATCCCAAAGGAATAGTTGTAGGGTCACAATTACAAATGATTCTACACCTAAATGTTGAAAGAAGCCAAGAAAAGATTTTACATCTACTTATGGAACAAGCAATCCTATGTACACATCATTGAATGATACTGTTACAGCCACAACATTTTTAAGCAGACACAAAAGGATACCTCATGTTAGCACTAATAAGTAATACATAATGACCTATTGTCGCTGGGAGATTGTAGAATACTAAGTTCTGTAGGGGGTAGCATAATAGCATTAACTAGTTCTCTTACTGCAGGACTAACAAGGTAATATCTTATAGGAGGGAACATTTATATTTATGGGAGATCCTTGTGGGATGGGAGTCACTTCTCATCCTAAAAATTGTAGATTGGATATGTTATCCAACAACTTAAAAAATAAACCATTTGGTTACTTTATTCCCACATAGAAAAATAGGAGCCCCAGATTGACAAAAATACCCTAGAAAAGCTTAAGGTTAATGACAATATGTAGTGAAACAGTTAAACATAGATGTATCCAAGGCTATGAAGGTGGTGAAATACATTATTCTTGTTGTCATTCATCCTTTTTTTAAATTCCTTTTTCGTTTATCTTTCTTGACCTTGAATACAACCAGGTTAGTTCTCTGATCATTGATCTATCCGTCAACTTCTTGCTCATTGAAAATGGTCTCCCCTTTGCCTGCATCCATCAAATCTTTCTACCATACAACTGAAATAAGTCAAAGAAGATCAACATTCGTGAAGTTAATAAACCGAACTGAAAAAGAAAAAAACTACACACTAATTCTTATAAGTATCATGTCACTCCCCTCAAATTGGAGTGTAGATATGACTCATGTCTAACTTGCTAAAATAATGTAAAGTTAAATAAGTGAACTAGAAAACTGATCTTCAATAAATATGGCAGCTCATTCTGTTTAAGAATAAGTATCATGTATCACGATGTTGGAAGGGAAAGAAACCTTAGTGCAGTCAGCTAAGTAAACCAAATCCAAGCAAGAAGCTAGACCCAGACCAGCTACCATAAATGGCAAAAGGAATCTCAGTAGAAGAAATCAAATCGCAAGAAGAGACTCCAGCCGAAAACTAACGAACAAACCCATGCTAATTCAATGAGCTCACCCATCAAGTTGGTCAATCCTCCTCCTCAAGAGCAAGTTAAGATGGGCACTCCATTCAAAATTTGTCTTCAATAGTGATTGGCAGACATACTTGACATTGAAGAAATGGAACAGCCAACAGAATTTCTGCACATCTGCTTCCAAATGTGCAGACATCTCCACATAAGTTATTTTGTTTGCAGAATGGATGTCAGGACTTAAAACTTTTATTGGCTGTTAGAATTTATGAAGCAAAAGGAAGAGTACCTTAGGCAGAGTATCTATTCTGTACATTTGTTTCGAGATTTCCGATTAGAATTAACAAAGATATTATGAGGTACAAAATATTGCAGAGGATGAATGGAAAAAAGAAAATGATGAGATAGTTATAGAGCTTGTGAAAGAACCAAAATACATTGGAACATAGATGGTACAGGACAACAAAAGAACAACTGCAGAGTGTTGACTGGTGGGTAGGTATCACATGCAGCAGAAGTGAAACCTCTTTGTAGCTGTGATGGCTGATCTTGTGGTTAGTACCATACGATGAGCCAAGTGATACCATATCAATGCAAGGGTAGAAAAAGAGCATGTTTAAAGAAAGCTCGAAGTATAAAATACAACATAGTTGGTTTTCGTGGGTTAATTAGATAAGCATACTTAAACCCTACCACTAATTATACAAGTCTATCTTCTAATCAGAAGAAAAATAATCTGACCAAATTGAAATGGAAGAGATAAAAGTGATGGTCAAAATATTTATTGTCTTGAAATTTTAATAATACAAGGAAACAAAAAAACTAGATGGAAGCCATGGCTTTATAAAATTGATTTCCTTGTATGAGACAGGAGGCAATATAAATCATTGATCTCTAAGATGAAAAGGACTTCGCATTCTAGGGGGACCTCCCTCCTATATGTGTGTATACACATAGGGATATTAAGGTATGCTTGACCATCTATAGTGTTTTTGGAAAATGATCCCACCACAAGCCTTGTATGTGAACACTTAGGGGCCGTTTACCAAATGCTACCCGGGTAAGCGCTTACCAGCAAAAAGTTCAACACTGTCACTTACTTATCGGGTAAGATTTTAGTCTACCAAAACGTATCATATGCTACAATTTACCCGATAAGCGCTAACCGTGGTAGAGTCGTCGCTCTCACGTACCGGATAAGACTCTCGGTCTTTGCCTTCGCTCTTACCAGGTAAGATTCTTGGTCCTTGCATTCATCTAGTAAGGTAATGTGACTTGGTAAGCGCTTACCCGAGTAAGCGTTTGGTAAACGGCCCCTTAATCGGGTTTGCATGTTGTGTGTATGGAGATCCCGCCCTTATTTCTTAAAGCACTATAATGCATACCTAAAAAGCTACTCTATATGGGGACTGTAGTTTTGTTGATATCATTCACGATGATTATTGCTCAATGGAGAGACCTTCACATGCACAAGCATTGTGAGTTTCTATAAGTGAGCCCTATTTGTTGTTTATAGGCTGCTAAGCATCATTAATTGTGACTTACTTCAAAGGCTCAAACACTACTAGTTCATATACCACAATATGTCTTCATTTGTTTCTTAGTAGATAATTAGACATGAGCAACAAACCACGGCCACACCTGCATCATATCTCACAACATCACTTAAACATGACTGGACTAACATGTAGAAATAGTAATTGTAGCTCCTCTAGGATTTGTTTGAGCCAAATTGCCTCACATATTGCATTCGCCATAGCATGAAACTCAACTTCAGCGCTGTTGTGAGTCATTACATTTTGCTTTTATTTTACCAAGTCACTAGATTTCACCATACAACAGTAGGCTCGAGACACCTCTATCTGTCCCTTGCTTCTTCATTCCTGACTTTCAAGCATGCTGCAGCTCATAATCATATTATGGAAAAAGAGGCCTTCGGAACAAAGGCGATTCTGTTCATGCTTCAGACGATTTGGCTAATTATATATAYTTCTATACTAATTATATTAGACTTCTTACAAATGAGTAGTATCCACGTGTATATCTTCTCAACTGCGGAAGGGTGGCGGTTTATGATCTCAACTTTGTCTCCCCCACTCACCTTCTTGATAAGGCCCCACTCTCTCTAATAAAAGAAGGGGCAAAGCGTCCTTTTGAAGGGGCAAAGGCCTACCGCTCTGTGGTCTTCCCTGAAAGCTAAATCAATAGGGCCATAAAGATCATTCCTACTTGTTTGTATGAGGCAGAAACTCATCCCACATACAGTAAACAAGTCGATACTCGCACTATTGGTAGTACATTCGTCAAAGAAGGTTGTTTTCTTTTCTGTACTGCACTATTGACGAATTTATTTCTGTACGGCTGTACCTAAAGAAGTATTTGATCTTGAACTTCCATTCCCATGATCCCCTTCTTTCATCTTGCAACTTCCATTCCCAAGAAATACATTAGTAGTTCCAAGTCTTTGATCCCAAATCCTCAGCCAGACTTTTCTTCGAGTTATCTATTTTTTCATGACCATCTTCTATGAGACTACGTCACAGAATATACCAGTCTACCAATCATCTTCCTATTTTTAAAGAATAAAGTGTGATCAGTCTAACCTTGAGAATATCACTATTATCTCATTGAACATGTAAATCTCTCGGACCAAGCTTGAGGTGATTGCTTCAACCCATAAAGGGCATTTTTTAACAGGCATGCTTGGGATCCAAACTCGGTCTCAAAGTCTAGAGGAGGTCCCATAAACACTTCCCCTTTAAGTTCTCCATTCAAAAAAAGCATTCTTCACATTTAGTTGCTGTAATGATTAATCTAGGTTTACTGCAACGGACAATAGGACTTTCAAAAACTAGATACATTGCAAGACGAGGTACATCGCTAGCTAATTGTGGCTCATGTATGATTGTACACACACAAACACAAAATTGTTAAAAGAGGCAGATATGCATGCATACATAGAAGATATGGGACCAAAAGTGTGATTTACTCTCAAATTTATTTACATAAATAATATATAGAGTAAACTACAAATTTGGTCCATGTGGTTTGTCGGATATAACACTTTTCATCCTTGCAGTTTCAAAAATATAAGATGGCCATCGTGGTTTGTAAAAACGTCCGCATTTGGTTCCTCCCTCTAGTGGACGTCAAAAAAAACTTGTTTACGGACATTTTAGACCTTTACCATTCTTTCATCAGTATTATTTAAAAAATATAATTTGTATCTTGAATTTCTAAAGCATGATTAACATCAATGAACATTAAGATCAATGGCATCAATATAAATAATCACTCCCATTTAAGGAATCGTCAATTGACAACTTATCATTAATGTTAACACTGGCTGTTGCACTTGTTGGGTTACAGGGTGTTATGCACAGCTGAATTAATTGTAACCCTAACCGGATACATATGAAACAGGGTGGTTTGGTGGACAAAAATCATACCCTTTTAGTAAAAACTTTGATGATAAGAATTGAAAAATAATCTTCAACTCGTCATCTCCATGGTTTTCACGTGAGTGGATCGGATTAACTTCTTCTTTACAAGAACAAGGTAGGAGTTATGTTCCACCCTCGGTGTTGCTAGGCACAATGATAAGGAGGAGACGATCGTAAATATGGATTAGGTTTTTTCTAAAAGCTTAAGCTCAATAGACACCCTTTAGCATCTTTACTTAATAAAGGAGTTTCATCATATGGCAACTCTTCATTGTTGATAAGGGATGTTTATCTTTCCCATTTTAATCCTAAAGTGATGATTTTCAACCATTGACAACTTTACCCCTCCATCTCTATGTCTAATCAATTTTAGATATAAAGTTATCTTAATTAATAATTTAGTCCCATTGAATAGTAAATAAGATATTGGTAATTGAACATCTTAATTATTCGGTCTTCTTTTTCGAGTACACCCTGTATGTGTGGCTTATTGGGACTTTATCATGTTGGCAATAATTATAGATCACATGTATAATTAAAAACGAATAGCATTATCTAGCAATACATCATTGTAATCCAAATGATAAAGTTTGATGGTTCTGCTAATCAACAAACTTGTGACTATCATCGATGTGCATTTTGTGTCCCTTTGCCCTTGATGTTCGGATTGGATATGAGGCACAGTTATGTAATCCCCAGCTTGTCTAATCCCTAGTTTATTGATTCTTGAATATACTAATAAAACATATATCTATATCCTTATATCGATTATCTGAGCATGCATGTGTTTACTCGTATAATTCAATCAAGGGGCCTAGAGACATCTCTCTCGTCATATAGGATGGGCAAATCCTATCTTGATACATACTAGTATTACCATGCGATACATGACATACCTGACTACCAATGTGTCATCCAGTTACGGAGTGATTAGAATTAGTGTCAAAGTATCTCACTCACACACAATAAACTATATGTTCTCAAGTCAAAGGACTACATATTCAATAACCACATGAGAAACACTTATGACACTCATATGACATACAATGCAATGTTCTCATAGCGAGTTATGTCCGATAAACAAAGATCCGTATCTTGTGCCTATATGTGGACTAGATATCTCCAAAAATATTTATTCCCTAAATTAAGGTGTGAAAACGAGGAACAGTTGATTTCACACGATTTGCTTATCAACAAAATCGTGAATAAATGGAAAATCGGGAAATAAATCTTCAGAGTCGGATTCAGGGATCCGGATGAAGGATCAAAGGTTATGGCCGTTTTAAGTTTGGCCACTTTCCAGCCCTTTTCCTTTTCCCCTACCGGTCCATGAACGTATCTGATCTCGCCTGGATCAGCTCTGCATCAAAGTTCATCTTGATGAGCCTCGTGCTATGAAGATGATGATATTTGAAAACTTTGATTGTATCATTTATCAAAGTGGAAAATTGGGTAAATATGGGCCAACTGACTCTAAACATAAACCCACACACAATATGTTGGGCAGGTGAACACTTGCATGGATTTCATGTGTGGGCAAACCTCCTAATCACTTTTCATCAATGTAGAACACTTGAAATGTTATTTTCACATGGATTAGTTATTATTCTGTATCTCTAAGAGGAACGTTTGAGATAACTAGATGAAGATCTTTGTGACTATCATAGAGTTCGTATTGTTTTTCTTAGATATGTACATAATGGGAATTTCTTAGTAGGAATCAAGATGGTATGCATTTTTGAAATTTAGTAGATTGGCAATGATCTGCCAGGTGCTTCAGGACATGTAATGTCGTTAATTACCAGAAACAGTTGGGATTGGAGTACTGTAAAAAATTAGATGCTGAACCAATTCAGTTGTGATTAATCCTATGGCAGAAGGTATCTGTTTCTGGTTAGGTTTATTATTAAGCCCTATTTGAGAATAGGTCTGAACTCTTAATTTAATGCTTCCTAACTGCTAAAATGTTCATTTCTAAACTACATCTTGCACCCATCTCTGAGTGGGTTGGTCTGTTTATCTTGCCCGTGCATTGACACTTGTCATTCTTTTCTTTTCCTGTAGAACGAACATGATAAAATACGGGAACTTTCACAGCAGCTGGCGATCGAGAAAAGGAGGGCTGCAACATACAAAAGACACCTGGAAATGGTTTTTGAGCATATTGAAGAACACAATCAGTCTTTATCGAAGAAGATTAAAGACATTGTAAACAGTGTGAAGGAGATGGAGTCGAACGAGCTGCTGCAATCACATAGATAGATAGTTTTTCTGTTTTTTATATCAAAAAATTTAATCAGAAAGTAGCATCATCCAGGATGATGCCATTTTTATGTTTTGTTTCCAGGTTACTCGTGTAAAGTTGTGAAATGTTATAGGGAATTGATCCTTAGTCCTAGGCGGCGGCTGCGGCTGCGGCTGCTGCTGTATACATTGATCTTTGGGGATGTGCCTGAAAATTTCAATGATAATTACTACCAGCTTCATTTTAACCTGAGTTGGGGTATTCATTCCATTGAGAGTTGTTTTTTTTTTAAATATATAATATTTATATACGGCAAATGCAACAAATAAACTCACACACCCTCCTCATCTATGGTGAGGTTTGAACCCCTAGGGCTACGATACCGCTAGGCCAAAGATCCTTTGGTTCCATTGAGAGTTGTTGCTCACACGTTATTATGTTTTTGAAGAAAAATGGTTTGGTTTAGTTGGTTTTATAATTTGGGTCGAAATGCAGGACATGGTTGTCAAAATTTAAGAATATTGGACTACATACAAATGTTCATATATATACAATACAAACTGGTAACAGAATCAACAACTATTTTGACAACTTCAAAAAAGATGGTTTGATCTTTAGGGTAGAGGTTAAGTTTGCATATATATATATATACATACATACATACATACATACATACATACATACATACATACATACATACATACATACATACACACACATACATACGTACATATGTATGTATGTATGTATGTATGTATAGGGACAAGATCAAATGTTAACCAAAGTTTTTATGTTAACTTTGCAAACCATGTCAACCAATCACAATCAATTCTTCTATTAGGTTTCTATCATGTTCACAATTTAATGTCAAGGGTAATTGAGTAATTTCATTTGCTATGTAACTTCCATACAATTAAAGGGGAGTTACAAAATCATAATGTAAATCCCCAAATATCAAAATCAAATCAGATAATCTTCAAAGTAGAATCAATAGTAGAGAGAGAATTTCACCAAAAAGCTTTTGAGTATATTTCTTGAGAGAATGATTACAAAATGATTAGCAAGACTAATTACAATTAAACTACTAATCTCCTATTTATACTAAGAAAGCATTAACCCTAACTATTACAAAATAGGAGAAACAACTTGAATACAACATATCAGCGCAGTATTGAACCCAACATTCTCCCCCTTTGTATTCAAGTTCGAGAAATGGTGAATCTTGACTTTCTAAGCCCCATAAGCATTTCAATCCTTCTCAAAGCACTCCGATATTGCAATTTATCGTCTAACAGGTTCAAAGCATTGATTAGAAGATACCTTTCTTTTGGACTCATTCTCTCCTTTTCTGTGGCTTTATCATTATCGGCTTTAATCTTCTCAAGCGCCCGACGCACCATCTTGATAGTACCGTCACAATACTTATTCAACTCATTAAATCTCATAAATCTTTTTATTCTGCCTGCAACATCATAAATCACTCTAAACTCCGGATCTTCAAGAATGATGTAGAAAGGATAGCCTTCAATGTCTTTAAGGTCTTGATCTGGTCTTTTCAAATTTATAATCTTCTGGTTATCTTCATGGCCCATTTGAATATCGATGACCATCGACACTTTGACATGGATCTTCAAATATCTCTTGATTGCTTCTAGAGCAATAATTGCTCCTTCTCTTCTAACTGTAAGATTCCGCAGTTCGTGATACAGATGTTCCAGATCTTCAAGATAAAGATTTGAGAAATCAGCTTCGCTAAATGTCCAGACACGTCCATCCTGCCTTGTAACAGTAAAGACCAGATACCAAACTCTGAGGAGTTTATTAGCATCAATTTGCTTGATGGACACTATACGAAGTCTGGTTCGTACTTGACTTATAGGAAGGCGCTTGGCTTTGAGAAAATGTTTGTACTCCATTTGATATTCTCGGGTTTCTTGATGAATCCCAAGAATGTTATCAGCACTTAGAGCTTTGCGATGATGAATAAAGATGCCGAAGTAGATGTCCTCAAGATAAGGTTCTCTAATCCGAGCCCTGTCATATCCTGGAACATTAGCTCGTATTGCAAATGGCACATAATTCTTGGAAAATATCTCTGTAGGGTTAAACGCCATATTAGGAGTATCAAAAATGCCTTGAGACACTGTGGTGGACGGTTCAACAATAGTTTGATGATCAGCCTCAAATGGAAAGATAGGATCACCTTCATTGATATCAGTTTCAAAGTCAAAGTAAATATCAGCTGATTCATCAATATTGTCAATATCTTCTCCAAAATCTTGATCTCCACCCAGTTCTCTAGAAAAAACTTTGTTAAAACCAACATTGGCAGACAAATCCAATAGCAACCTTGTTTTTACTATGGAGTCCGCCGGCTTTTCAACCATTGGCTCGATCGTTAGATTTGTCTCCACAGCTGTCACCTTCTCAGCTGATACCGGGCCAGTAGTCCTTTCTCTTGTTCTTTCTGGAACAGGACTTTCTACATTAGTTGTTTCAAAATAAGGCTCCACTTCAACACCTTCAACACGAACTGACGACTCAGCCAACCTCTGTCTTTTCCTCTCCCCCTCATGGTGATCAGGATCATCCTGATCATCATGCCTTCATTTTAAAGAGGTGACTTGAGCTCGACAAGTGTCTTCCAAGGTTGATACACTTTCGGCTAAGGTATCAATAGAATTTTGCAATAAGGTCAATGCTTGAGTGTTGGATGCAATTAAAGTACTAACTTTGGAAAAGTTAGTAGCAACAATATATTGGAAAGCCAAAAACTCTAAGGCCCGAACTGTTGGATTTTCATCAACTTGTTGTCTGAGGAGCCCAACCAAATCTGCATCTGCCGCGTCAGGATTTTGAGAAGCAATTAGCTTTGCGTACAACAACGACTTGAGCTCATCCATCGATTGTTCTTGTGCCCTTGGGGATTCAGAAGCAGGCGGTGGTGGCGGCACAGATGGTTGATCTTCAATTACTGGCTCCTTTCCCTTCAACATCCTCTTCAAGCTAAGGATTTGATCTTCCATATGATCCTAGACAGCCTTTAGGGCGCCATCCAAATGTTCCCTTGACACGAAGTCAGGTAAACTAACACCTGGATCACTTAGATTACCAGTTGTAACAACAGTTGAAAAAACTATTGTGCCTACGTTTAGTGTTGGCAAAATGTTAGCACTGGTAGGACTTCCGACCTGTCCTTGTGGTAAGTTAAAAGACTCCACTCTAGTCGTTCCGGCTGGTTCACTAAGAACAGCGGTTTGAGCAACAGATGCTCTCGACTCATGTGTACCTATGTGTATCGGCTCTAGACTCGAGGTGCACAGAATCGATGTCATAGGCTGGGGAAGAGGCCTACTATTTTCAATATCTACATTCTTCGAGTGAGAAGCAGATAAATTATGTGTTAAATCCCCATGAGAAGATGAAACAATTGCTTGTTAAGAAGCAATTGAGTGGCTGGGGATGTGCATTTGCATAGCTGGGCTAGCTATGTCTGTTTCAATATCAACATTCAACGAATGAATGTCGATAGCAGATGTGGGTGCCCRGCTAACTGTTTCAGCTGGAATAGGAGCATATTCTTCATTTTGAGCTCCTCTCTCACCCTCACCAGATTTTTTTGCTTCCCTTTCACTCAACCTCTCAGCATTTTCTACTTGATCTCCCTCATCTTCTACATTCAGAATAACATCCAATAATTGATGCAGATCACCATAATCATTGCCAAACTCATCAACATCAAAAGATAAAGAAGACTTGGGCAAGTCTGTTGATCTTGATTTTCAGGAATGATGTCTTCAATATTATCAATAATTGCTCCCACTTGAATATTCTGTGAAACAACAGGATGAGCGGCATTATCATCATCATCATCATTATTATCATCATTTGCACCATCCTGAGTTGGCTGATCGTCTGATGAAGTATTTTCTGAGCTTGGAGAAGAAGTTATGGAAATACTTTCAGTTGAAGTGTTATGCTGATCAGAGTCTCCCCGCGCCAGACTACCCCTCTCTATCACATTTTCCCTCAGCTCACAACCCTGTTCAGGTACCCCATGTTCCTGAACTCTCTCAGCTATGTCTAAACCCTCTCCCTCAACTAAGACATGGGTTGATCCCGGGGTAAGTTCAACCGGTTCTGGGTGAACTATAGGATCTATAACTCTCCTATAGTCTATTACACACTGAGCACTCTGAACAGTGAAGACAAATAACTCAGGTAGGATTTCCATTATAGAATCCAAGTCTTTAACTTTAGTATGCGAACGAATACGTAGCATGACAAACGATGGCCCAACTTCACTGTTTGCCCTAGCCGGAATGTCATCATTTGCGTTCATCATGGCTTTAATTATAAGTTGAAGAAATTTCTGAAAAGGTACAAACTTTCTGGCTTTGGATGGGAATCTTTTGGCGTTGACCAACTCGATTAATTCATTCCAAATGATAAGCGCGTAATCGTAATGACGAGTAAATACGATGCCGTGGAAGAACTTTAGGAATGGACTGCTGCAAGTATCAATTCCGGCAGTCTTAGACGTTAGGCACCGATTGAGGATGGAAAATAGCAAGTGCCATATCGATGGAAGAAAACGTCTTTTGAATTGAGACGAATTAGTTAACTCTTGTGAGTATCCTAATCTTTTGATGTCTCTGCACAACTCTTCATCAGTGATCAGCTGTTCAAACCCTGTTGGTAGACGTAAAATTCTTCGGAGTCGTTTCAACGTCAAACGACTTGTGTATTCGTCTACATTGCCTTCAAAATAGTAAGTATCACCATTTTTTGAAAGAGTAAGAATATGACAAAATTGTTGTACATATACCATCGGGACTGTAGCTGTAGCTGAAAGGGCATAGGCTATTGGGTGTCCACAAAGGATTTAAGGGATTATTTTATATTCGCATGGCATATCAGAAATTGAAGTGGTGGTTATTATGCTTGATTTCTAGGTAAAAACATTGAGGAAATAGGGATTCATTTGGAATAGGTGTATTTGTTGGCTGGTTTGGGTTATTTATGTTGTCTGATCTGACATAAGGAATGTGAGATTCCTCGTCAGATTGGTGATGTTCTTCAGCCATTTTTCCTGTAAAACATAGAATATTAGATCCAAAGAAAAAAAAATTCAATGCCAATACCAAAAGTAACCACACTTAGATTTGAATTTTTTTTTATTAAAAAATCTAAAAAACTAAAAAAAATTACGAAGTAAAAAAAATCAAATTTAAAAAAAATAC